GAACTGAGATGGGCGTACTAAGGATGAGACGGGGGGGGACGGGGGACGGACGGACGATGGAGATTGAGAGTCACTAGTCCCAGGACTGGAGATGGCACAGTATTCTGGTGCCATGGGGTGTGGCGCACTTTCCCAGCATAAGCACTTACCATCCGGTAAGGGAATCAATTTGCATGGTTGCCACCCCATTGTGCAACTACACTGGCAACAACACCCCAGCGACTCACCTTCCTGCCTCCGTCTGCTAGTGCCGGGTACACTGGATGGATGGCAGCGAATGGGGCGCAGACATTTGCGTTCAGCCCTGGGGACTGCATCTCCCTCAGACTTCAACCTGCCAACTGTAGTCAGGTGGGGACAGATCATTAAAAAGGTCAGCGGCCAAAGGATGCCAAATCCATATCAGGGGAGGGTAGAGCTACTGGAGGACATGCGAGAAAGACACCGTCTGAGCAGGCCTAATCTCTGAGGAGATCCAGGATGGTGCTGTGGTTGAGATGCTGAACTAAAGACTGGGCAGACCCAGTTTCAAATCTCCGTAGCCACGAAGCCTCCCGGTGAAGCTGCCAACCTCCAGGTGGTGGCTGGAGATCTGGGATGACAACTGATTTCCAGCTCACAGAGATCAGTTCAACTGGAGAAAATGACCACTCTGGAAGGCTATGTCATTATACCCCAACTGAAGTCTCCATTCCCCAAACCCCACCTCCCAAATCTCCAGGCATTTACCAACCAGGAGCTGGCATCCCTACTCCCTGGGTTACCTTCAACCAGTCACTCTCTCAGCCCAACACATCCCAGAGGGTTGTTGTGAGGATAAAATGGAGAGGAGAATGGTGGAAGCTGCCCTGAGCTCCTTGGAGGAAGGGTGAGACAAAACCATATTAAATAAATGCTACCCTCTGCGTTTATTTATTAGATTTATACCTTGCCCTCCCCGCCAAAGCAGGCCCACAGCAACTTACAATTAAAAAAACAAAACAGCAGGCCCACAGCAACTTACAATTAAAAAAAAACAGTTTAAAACCAGCATAAAATCTAAAGCGCAATACATTCATAGTTTCCCTATGCAGCGGCGAACATGTTCCAATATTGCCATATCCAATATTTTTGTGATACAATGGTGATGGCAAGATCCTAGGGAAGGCTCTGATGTTATAACCAGATGTACCAGATGTTAGATGTGGTCAAATGCCTGGTGGAAGAGCTCCGTCTTGCAGGCCTTGTGGAATTGTAGCAAGCTCCGCAGGGCCCTGATATCTTCCAGGAGCTCATTCCACCACCGCGGCGGTGCCACAGAGAAGGCTCTAGCCATGGTGATGGCCAGTCTGGCCTCTTTAGGCCAGGGAGAACAAGGAGGTTTTCTGTCCCATAATGCAGTGCTCTCTGGGGAACATGTGGGGAAAGGCGGTCCCTGAGTTATGCTGGTCCCTGACCATAAAGCGCTTTATAGGTTAAGAACAAGCACCTTGAAGCGAATTCAGTAAGCTATAGGCAGCCAGTGCAGTGCTTTCAGCACAGGCTGGATGTGTTCTCTCAGAGAGAGACCCAGCAACAGCCCGGCTGCCACATTTTGTACCAGTTGCAGCTTCTGAATTTGTGACAAGGGCAGGCTGCAACTTCCGAATTTGTGACAAGGGCATTCCCATGTAGAGAGCATTACAGTAGTCCAATCTCAAGGTGACCACTGCATGGATTATTATTGCCATGTCGCCATGTTTGAGGAAGGGAACCAACTGCCTGATCAGCCGAAGATGGTAGAAGCCTGGGCACCCACCTGGGCACCCATCATTAGGGAGGCATCCAAGAGCACACCCAAACTCCTAACCTCCGGCGCTGGCACCAATGGCACCCCATCGAAGGTCGGGAGTGGGATTGGAACCAGAGCACATGGGAACAGGAGGCTTACGCCTCCCCATATACCATCTTCCTACGCTGAAATGGCCCCGGAGACTCCTTTTGGGGACTCCACATGTACTCATGGAGTACATGCAAGTTTTCACAATGGGGCACCCCCTCAGGGCCATTTCCAATCCAAATCAGCCCCCTCCCATGCCTGGGAACTGAATTTCCAGTGGAGAACTTGCAGCTTGCTTCCGATGGTGACCCAGATAGTGACTGAGGACTTTGTATTGTGTTATTAGGCCCTCAGCAATCTGCACATCTGGCCAGTGTGTGTGTGTGTGTGTGTGTGTGTGTGTGTGTGAGAGTGAGAGAGAGAGAGAGAGAGAGAGAGAGAGAGAGAGAGAGAGAGAGAGAGAGAGAACACACTGCAGAGATCTCTGCCTGAGCACTGGATGATGCCCTTAATAAACTAAGTGATAGTTTTCTTTTAATGGTATCCCAGGAGGGGCTGCTTGCCTCACCCCACTAAACAGCAAGGCCACACCAGGGGATGTTTAACAGGACTGCAGCTCTATTCCTCTCCACTCTGATCATGAAATTAAGCAAAAAAGATGTATTACCTATACCATACCAGAACAATCAGTACTGCAATGCTGGACCACCTCCTGCTGACTCTATTCCCAACCCTAGACAGATGCTGGCTCCAAATCACAACCGTCTGCCGAGGTTATGCTGTGTATCAATGCAAGTTTATGTGTAAGAAAACCAAGGATTTTGCCTAGTGTAGAACTGGGTGCATCTTAGACAGTAAAAGATGTCCAAGTATGGGATGGCCTGGCATCAGATGAGAAGGTTGTGCCCGATGCCATCCAGGTCTGTTTCGGACCTAAAATTCTACCCACATTTATCATCCTATAAGACACTGACTAGCAGAACTTGCACATCATCTGGCTGGAATCATGATTTATGAACCCCCCTCAACCCCACTCCCTAAACTAGGCCAAATCAAGCTCCATGCAGGTGGGGCTGGCGTGTGGATATCAATCCTGGAGACTTCAAGTCCCTGAACAGTTTGGCTGAGAAGAGACCAGGTTCCCAGATGAAGTTCATTATTACAGCTATAGGAAATGTAAAATACATGTACACTGATCTAATAGAAAACACTGTTTTATCAGCGGTGTGCATGCTTTTTTGAGTGTGACCGAATGCATTTCACTACTATCACTGTAATCCCTGCAACAGCCTTTTAACAAAGGCCAATATTGTTATCCTCCTTGTTGCACACAGGGAAACTGAGGCTGAATGCCTTGCAGAAAGACACATAGGCCCTGTTCGCACGAGAGGTTTTGGGCCGGGAGAGGGACAGATCGGGGCCGCAGCAAACGGGCACAATCCCACAGCAACATCTGAGAATCGTGCTGCGCCTGTTCCCAATCCGCCCCTCCCGGCCAAAACCCGCACCAAAAAAAGTCTAAGGAAACCCTTCATGTGTGACTTTCCCCATAAGAACCATCTCAGTGGGCCAGACGTAAAGATATTACATGTTTACTTATAACTTGTTTTGAATGGAAATAGAGGTAGTCTATAAAAGCATCAGCTAATTCTACACTGTGGCTGGAATTCTAAGGCACATACATACAGTGAAATCCTAAACAGAGTTACACCCTTCTTATTGCAGTCGAGGGGCTTAAAAGAACATAACTCTGCTTAGGGTTGCATTTGCACACAACGGCTCTTCAGCTTCACCTTCTAGGAGAAGCTTCCTATGTTTCCCCTAAAGCTCCCTCCACCCTGTCCCCAATCAAGAGGCAACACTGTATGAGGGGTTCCACTGTAAGGAGATATAGTCCTGCTTCCCAGACATGCGTGGTTGGGAGGGGTTGGACTGTAGTCTATGACCCTACTCTATTCACTGTTGGGAGCTACACAGCAACCAGAACCCAGAACACGATCCAAGTTATTTGGGGGGGACAAGGGGTTAAATGCTAA